GTTGTAGTATGGAACTTCTAACGTATGTAGAAGGGAGCATATAGATGCTGAGTAGCCAAAGTCTTGGACTTTATAAATTTAATGTCTCTCAGGTCCAAAATTACCTTTCTTTGTCCTGTTTTGTGTTGTGTTGGTTCATATACAATTTTTCCTAGGCAAAGGGAGCCAAATTGGTAGAATTAAAATCTTCAGCAGGAAAAATGCTCTCAGATGACTACCACCTAGGAAGGAGCCCTTTCAATTCAATTTTAGAAAATAAAAAACGAGCACCTACATGGCTTGCATAGCTCTAACCAGGCTGAACTTCCTCCAGTTTCCAACTTAAGAACAGCCACACTGACTCAGAGATTTATCCTATTTACACTAGTTCAGAAGGCCATCAAGGATTTCCACATTATTGTGTTTTAAGTTGTTAATATCTCCTGAGGCTCCTTTCAGATATACTGAGCTGGCTGGCTAGCCCAGGGGTTGGCAAACGTTCAGGAGTGGAGAACCTGTGGCCTTAAGGCGAAATGTGGCCTTCCTGGTCCTTAAGTGCCATGCCTTTGACTGAATCCAAATTTTACATAACAAACCCTTTTATTAAAAAGGGGTGCAGCAGAGAAAGACGAAGCTTTTCTTGGCTTCCTTTGGTGCTTAAAAAAGAACAATCTTGAAATCAGAAGGCTGCAGGTTCCCCACCGGCTTTACAATGAGGTCTCTGACATACACTCTTCTGGCTTTTTCTGTTTTCTTTTTAGTTTTTTTCAGAGACAGGGTCTTGCTCTGTCACCCAGGCTGAAATGAAGTGGTGTGATCATAGCTCATAGCTCACTGTAACCTCTCACTCCTGGGACCAAGAGACCCTTTCGCCTCAGTCTCCTGAGTAGCCAGGACTATAGGTACATGCCACTACATCTGGCCAATTTAAAAAAAAAATTTTTTTTGCAGAGACAGGGACTCACTACGTTGCTCAGGCTGGTCTCAAACTCCTGGCCTCAAGCAATCCTCCCACCTAACCCTCCCAAAGTTCTGGGATTATAGATGTGAACCACCATACCTGGCTTTGTTTTCTTTTTTAAAACCCTTTAAAGGAATGTAAAAATTATTCACAGCTCAAGGCTTTTGTCTGCTGACCCCAGCCTAGACTGCTCTTTCAAAGTAACAATATTTTTTTCCCCCATTAGGGCTCTAGTTACAAAGTTGTACAGATTATGAGTGGTCTGCCATAGCTCTATTTCGCTCCCTAACCTTTAGTGCTCAATTTTTTAGAATACAAGGATTTTCAGAAAAACATAAAATGTTTAGTAAAAATGCTAATACTAAAATATATCAGAACAAATTTTAACTATTTCAAGTGGTCACACGATGATAAAATGTATAATTACATAATAGCACAACACAGTATAGCAAAGATATAAATACGACTCAGTAAAGCTAATGAGATATAAATACAATTCAGTAAAGCTACCTACATTGATTATGTTAATAAAATTCTTCATTACAATGAGTTATAAACTGATTTACCTGAGCACTTCTATTTCTTCTGCTGTGTACCTCTGTCCTTGTGCATCACATGACTGTGGACTTATAAATGGCTGAGGTCTTTCAAGGAAGGGATTAGTTCCTAGTGGAAAATGTGCTCTTGTTGGAGGTGGCTTTGGTTTAATATTCGTTGACTTGATTTTACAAAATGGCTTTGTCAAAGGCTCACTCAATGCTTCTGCTCTATAATAGAGAAAGGCACAGAAAAATTGTTCTAGTTTTTCTTCTCACATTTAAGCTTTTTAGGAAACAAAATTTACTCTGAGAACTAGTTAAGGAACATTTCTGATATATAATCAGCACATAAAATTCTTACATACTAGTCAATATTTCACTACTTAAGGTACTCTCAAAGGTTTTTGCAAACAATATAC